AAATTCCTCGTAAGCTCTTACACCTGAAACTTGAACAGTGGGCATGTTGACCATTTAGCCCATTTCCATTTTTTCCACATGGATCCCATTTCCAGAACTTCAGCCACTTGGCCCAATGGATTCAACCTATGGCCGTACCATCCGTCGTCCGTTCCCGGCCTTAGCTCGTCCGAGGTGAGCTCCTGCGAGAAGTCGAATGCTTGGGCCTGGGCCCTGCAGGGCCTAAGCCAACTGCCGCACAGCGCGCTGGTCGCCGATGCCCTCGGCGCCTCGGCGAATTTCGGTCGCCGGGGAAAAAGCGGGCGACGGATGGCAGGGGGATCCTCAGGGTTGTTGTTGGGAAGCATTTGAAACATCTCGGGATTTCTTCACTTAACTGCTAAAATGTAAGTCTTTGCTCCCCTTCCAACGTCAACTGGGGAAACGGGCGACGGGATCTCGGAGACTCGGAAGTCGGAGGCTTCAACTCTGCGATTCTGGGCTGCACCAAAGTCCGTGCCTGGCCCTTGGCGCTGCAATTGGTCCACCTGGCCTCCCAGCAAGGCCTGCCCCTCCAGGCCAGCGGAGCCATGGGGAGCCATGAGCGAGGGGAAAGGGCTTCCGAAGACCGTCATCCCCTAGGTCCAGTAGTGCCCTTTACCCTTTTGGAGCGTTTGGAGCCTACTAGAATAGACTACGGAAGAAAAGGGTACTCTTATTCTCAAGCCTTAGCACAGCAACCAACTCAGCTCCTTTGCCGACTGAAACTGAACACAAAGCAAGATCGCAAGGAGGGACTCAATGAAACACACATGGAGCAATCAAGAGGCGCACAACTGAGAAAAGCACCTCTTCAGCGTGTAGAACGGCGACATAGAAGACACTCACAGGCCTAAACTCGCTACAGGGAAATTATCAACTTGGTCTCTGCTTTAGTCAAAAGACCCGAACGCAGTAGAAACTTGAAGCGCAGTTGAAGCGCGCTTGGTTTAACCAGTCTCGTTTTGGTTCTCAGGAATGAACCAGCGGACCGCCTGACAGGAAACCACCAGCGACGCTTCAGTTTGGGGTCATTCATTGGCCACTTCATTCCCGTCTAATCAAGCCAGAAGTCGTTTCGTGAAGACATGGCAAGTGACTCAAACTTGCCAATCGAGAATTAGCGACCCCTATGGCTTCATTGCTGGTGAGGGTCACCATACTTTGGCCAGACTTGCCTTTCATGCGCCGAAGTCGTTTTGGTTTTTTGGTTCCGGTGCTCGCTAGGCTCAGCTGGTGTTGTTGAAGGCTGCTGGCTGGGTCATTGCAATAGCTTCCGGGTCACATATTAGGATGACAAAAGGATTGTTGCGGTGGTTTCCCAAAAGGACAGATAATCAATTTCTGTGGTGGTTTGGGCCGGTCTTGGGTTTGAAGCTCCCGTTCCTCTTAGAATCAAGTCGGAAGCCGCCATACCGCAAGGAGAAGCTTGTGCATATCTTGAGCAGGGAACGCTAGGATGAAGCATAGATTAGATACCATGGATATCAAAAGGGCCACTTGTGCAAAGATAACGAGCCTTGCTTGGCATTTGCGTGATGTACGCTTTCCAAAGGAAGCTTCAAAAGGAAGAAACACGAGGAACGGAGTGGCAAATACGGAGGAGAAGTGCAGTTTTCCACAAGAAACGGGCATGTTTTTTTTGTTCCTCTTGGCTTTTTCCATCAGCGTTACCCTTAAAACCAGATGCACCCATACCCAAAAAGCTGGACAATGTTGGGCAGCCGCAAGGGCGTTGGGGAGGTCTCAACACCCAAGCGACGGGTGGACGATGCCACTTTGATTTCAGGGGCAGGGCCCTGATCTTCTCAAGGGCATCGGTGAGAACTTGACAAAACCTGTGAAGACCCATTGACAGTGACGTTTTGCACCGTTGCACGTATTCTGCTGCAACAAATGTTGGGGCGTTAGGCCCCTCCGCTGCCCGAAAAGTCCTAAAAATTAGTTCGCCAGGTGGGTAGCTACGGAGCTTTGCTGATGGAGTGTGATCTTGGCAGAAATCGCCTTCAAATCAGAGTGTGTGTGTGTGTTTGCATAAGGTACTGGTACCCTAAAATATTCTGGTTCAAAGGGAAGCCAATTGAAAAGTCCCCATTTAACTCTCCCTCCAACAATCATGGAAGCTGACATGTAGCCCTGGTTGGTCCATAGGAATTATATAAGTTTTGCTTTAAGCCGCCCTCCCCATGCTACCACGCACTTTGTGCAAAGGCTCCCCTAACCGCTGGGAATGAACATCATTTGCAGCCAAGTTGGCTAACATATGGCTTGAGGGCTGCCTGCAACTGGCATACCGTCGTGGAAACCTTCCGGCAGGCAGGCTTTTGGGGAAGCCCCCTATCGACCCCTGCGCCAGGGAAACCGGGACTTTGGTCTGACCCCTTTTGCGAAAACCAGGGAAACTGGGACTTTGGTCTGATCAAACCCCATGGGCGTGGCTTGCCAGTTTGTAGGTGTAGACTGGAAAGGGAAAACCTAGCCTTAACCGTTTGGATTGGTCCTGCTGGCTGGAATGGGAACCCTAAAGTCTGGAAGCACCTGACCTAGCCAATGGCAACCCTAAAGGTCTGGACTGTTTGGGAACATTCCCCGAAACTCAGGTGGCCACCATTTGGTGCTTTGGATGGGTTTGGGGATTTGCCCCTGGGTTTTGGGGAGTGCTGTTCCAAAGGCGCCTCAGAGTCTCGAAGGAAACCGACAAGGGGTCAAAACGGCGATGGTTTGGGACGTGTGGGGAGGGCTTCCTGATTTGTTTGGGACACGTGCCCAAATATGCGCAAACTGTGTGCTTGTTGGCCATGAACGCCGCATCTGGGTTTTCTCCAAGCATGTGTTTAATTGCATTTTAGGGTAGGACAAGATGAAACCGAATCTGGACATGCGATTTTCTGACCCCAATTCTTGGTGGCTCCCAGCCATCCCCTTAGCCTTTTAGCTTTTTAATGTTTAGTGGTAGTTTCCAGTTAACCCACTAAAAGTGAAACTTTTAGCGGGGGATCTGACAGAGGGCATCCCAGAAATGTGAGCCAAAAAGGGATGACACATGTTTTTAGGGGTACCTTCCCCATTCTTTCCAGGGATCCTTCTTTCTAGAAAACTTCCGGGAACCCAGGGAAAACGGATCCGGTTTTTTGGAAAGAGCGATGTTTGGAAAGCAATCACACCCTAGAATGTTGGACCCATGCTCTAGTTCTAGGGATGACACATGTTCTAGGTCCCCCAGTGCCCTTTTACCCTTTTTGGGGCGTGGGTTCCCCTAAAATAGACTACAGAAAACAGAGTACCCAAATTCTAAGCTCTCAAATCGGGAGGACGGAGTGTTGGACCCATGCTTCCCTTTTTTTGCGCGAATCAGGTGAGCGCGGGTCTGATGCGCTGCTGTGCCAGGAGGAGCTCTTGCAAGGAGCCTTGCAGGCGGTAGGCGGGAACCACATGGGCACACACTCTTTTGGGGTCAGTCCCTACATGGCTGTGGCTCAAAAAACCGGTACCAAAATGGAACCCTGGTAAGTGAAAACATGGACCAAAACCTGCGTAACCCCTGCTGTTTAATTTTGAGCCACACCCAAATGTCCGTTTCTTAGTGGCTTCCACCGCTGATTTCTGCTTTTCCTGCTAGCGACGGACAGCTTAGCTGGAATGTTTTTCAAGCTTTGAGTTTTTGGGGTCAGGCGCGTTTTTTTTTGTCCGTTTCTCTGTGGATTCCAGTTTTCCGCGGATCCAAGTATTTAAATGTGGTCAGGTCCACGTTTTCGCCGGCAACTTCCATTCAACCCGTTTCCTCAAGTCCGAGGATTGCACCGATGAGTTCTCGAGTTCTCCAATTTCTGGCTGGGAGCGATGCACTCAAAGCTTGAATGCTATTGGGTTGGAGCTTGAAACTTGAGCTTTTTGGGGAAATCAGGTTTTTGTTCCCTTTGAACCCACAAGAAGTTAAACTTTTTGCAAAAAGGCAACAACAAAAAGAAAACCCAAGGCATGTTGTGCTTAAACCAGGGTACTTCCTCATATTCCTCTTTCTGAAGGGGGTCGTAACGCCCCTCTGCGCGGGATTGGGTCTGTCTTGGCTCCCCCCAGATCCCGACCAAAATTGAACATTCGCGTTTTTCCTACTCAATTCAGGTGTCTTCCCTAGATGTTCTACACACACCAGATTTGGACGGGCGGCCTTTTTTTTTGAGGTTAAGTTTTTTTTGGGCGGCAATTCAATGGGAGAGCCTTTCATTTTGGGCATAAACAAGCAATGGGGAAAACCGCCAAGATAGAATCCTACAGGAGTGCCAAAGGATTTCACTAGAGTGCCCGCTGTAGTGGACAAGAGGTCGAATCCGGTTGACCTGGTTGCGAATCCGAGCGCTAGGTGCTTTGCCAGCGGCCAGCGTTCAAACGGGAAGAGAAAGGCGGCGAGTGGATGGCATCGCGGCCTCCCCCTACCTCACCCCCTTTCCCCATGCTCCCAAAGACCCCGAAGACCTTAGTGAACTTGGTTGTTGGTTTGTTGCGTGAGGTTGGCTGGAAAGACCATGGCAGACCACAAAGTGTGAGAGGAGATGTGAAGGTCAGGAAGTTACGGTGGACGTGCCCATAGCTTTGCTTGGATGTGTCCAAAAACGGAACCACAACGGAGTTGGGAATTGCGCGAGTTTGTCCAGAGCTATTGGGGCATGAATCTTCATTAGGGACCCTTAAGCGTACATCATTCAGGTCTGGATTGATGTCCACCTCCCACTTTTATTGAAGCTAGCTGTTTGACACGCTGCCACGCTTTCAATAGGAACCCATCGCGTCGCCCCAAGCGACTCGCCCCTTTGACATTTCGGCTTCTGGTTTTCCCATGACTCAAACAAGCCACGGCAAAAAATGCCGGGGCTCCTTCCAACCAAAAAGGTGCGCTTTTTGCCGCGCCTCTGCCGGGTTTTCCCCTTCAGATCTCCCCCCCCCCCCCCAGGACTCCCCGAGCCCCCGCCGAGACCAGAGCCGAGGCCGCAAGGTGCGCTTCACCGAGCTCTGCTGCCCACAGGCGGGCTCAGCTCTCGGCTTTTATTTTTTTCCGGCCACGAAGTGCGAAGCTCGAGGCCCCCGAAAAATCCCAGGAACCAGATGTAGATTGGAGAGAGAGAGAGAGAGGGAGAAGATTATGAAGCCTACATCTCAAGATAGTTGTGTTCTGCAAGCCCCGAATGTGACCAAGGAAGCTTAAATGCAGGTCAACAAAGGCATGTGTGTGTGTTTTGCTTGGTCAGGGTGGCTCACCCACGGCTTGGGCGAGAAGAAACCTAGGGGCAAGAGGAGTCATTTGACGTGTTTCTGAGACCCAACAAAAGTATTTCTTTGGTGAGCGACCTTGTTTCCCAGAGCAGGGTTGCCGCCAGTGCAGGGACTTTCCCTTGGCCAGGCCAAATTTGCCCATTGGAGCAGTTGATACAGCAATGTGCTATCAAAGTGAACTGACTGACATTGCGGCTAGCTCCAGGGTTTCCCTTTCGAAATATTCCATCCCTTCGCCGCACCGTGCCGAAATCGGAGAAAAGCCTGGAATTGAAGCGGATTTTCCAATTCATAGGATCCCCCCCCCCGCATTCTCCCGACGAAACCAAAAAGGACACCACCCATCTTTAAAGTTGTCTAAAAAGGGGTTCCTTTTTTTGGTGCAAAGCCATGATAGGAATTGGTTTGGCCCAAGGCTCAAAAAGCCGGACGTTTTGCGCGAGGACGAGAGGCACCACACGCTGCGCCGGGACTTCGGGAAGTTCGATGAGAAACGCTTCAATGAGCCGGGCGGCCTGCAGCTAGGGCCATTGCTGGGTCCTGGGCCGAAATCCAAAACCGGAAGGCTTCGGTACGGGGTGTGTCGTGTTTGTTCGGTACCCCTCCGAAAAAATGCGGGTGTCGTTTCTGTTCTTCTTTTTTTCCTTTTCTTTTTCGGTACCCCAAAATGGTGCGTTTCGGTGCTCCTCGTGGGTTTCGCTAGTAAAAGCTCCAAAAACAGGGGCGTAGCCTCAAAAAAGACACCCATGTGGTTGAGACGATGTGTTATTTGGGCCCTGTTGGTTTCAAAGGCGATCTGGAATTGCTGGACACAGTTTTGTTTTTCTCCAGGGGACTTAAGCACATTGAGGTACCCGAGAGAGGAGCTGGAAGGAAAGCCATCCCACAAAAGGAACAGGTCCAAATGGTCAAGGAGCGCCAGCTGTTTTCGTGGCAATAGCTTGGGGCTCGCCGGTGGACGTGAAGTGGGGATTCATGTCCAGCAACCTCTTTTGAGGTTCCCTATCTTACCTCTTAAAAGCACAACTTTTCAACTTGTTGGGGGTAACATGGGCTATATGTCTGTAAAAGATTAACTTCCCCAGGGCTTGGAGTTTTAAGGGGTAAGCTATTAAGATTCACAGCCAATGTTGGGTTCAAACCCGGGATGGCATGTTTCCCTCTCACCTGGGATTTCCGGAAGCGACAAGAGTTGGGGCTTCCAGGTGCCCTCCGGGTAGAGGCTCGTGCCATATGAAGCTCAGTTGTTCAGTGGCCCCAATTCTTTTTCCCCTTTTTTTTTGGTGGCTTCCACTAAGAATGGTCCAAGCCCCAAAAAGGGTTCCCTTTTTTTCGAGGGTCACTGAACAACTGAGGAAATGAGCCGGCGGTGAATTCCCAATGGAGCACACCTGTCATGCAAGGGGCAGCTCCCGCCAGACCTAGTACTGTAGCAAAAAGGCCCTCTTGGGGGGGCTTTAAACACGATTTTTCCTTCCGGGTTGGGGGTTCCCCTTTTATCTTGTCGGACTGTCTTCGCAGGACGATTCTAGATAAAAGCCCCCCGGCAACTTGCAGCGAGCGGGATGGAGGCGAAGCTTGGCGTGTTGAATAGATTGCCCACCCCTTAACCGATGGTTTCACACTGTTCAGCTTGATAGTCAGCTCATGGAGATGGCTTCTCCTTGATTTCCACCAAAATAGGGGCACCGGTTTTTTCCCCTTGACCACGGGAGGCCTGGGCAAATCGAATCTCCGAGGTTTCGCAGCTTTCTGATTGCAGAGAATGAGAAGAACAAGAGCCCGGCGCTCAAACCGCATGGAGCTTGCGAGCCGACTGTGCTTGATACAAGCTGCGCATTCATCAAGGCGGCCAAAAAGACAAAGTGTTTCATGCTCAAGTGCCCGGAAGGGGATGCTGGCGTGTTTCTTTGGCACATTTTGGCACTTAGCTGCCGTTGACCGCGATGTATTTGTGGCCCCCCCTCTCTCCCTCTTACTGGCATAGGAACTTTTGGAATCCGTTGATTGGGTGCAAGCTCAGGAGTCTGTAGGTTCCCCTGTTTCTAGAAAGGTTTTCAGATCCCTTCGGAACTTCGATCAGAACCCCTTCTTTGAGACCCCTGCCTGGGTCGGGCAGGCTAGCCAAGCCCCTAGTCTGATCCAAGCTGCATGAGTCGGCTACATTTGCTCTGACGCGGTGGTTTCAAGCGTCACCTACGGAACCCAACGGGCCCTTTCGCGCGTTTCCCGTGCGTTGCGTTTAGGTCAAGGCCGGCAGACGGACTTCTTCCGACTGGCCGGGCGCTTTTTCGATTTCGACGGCAGAAATGGCATTCCAACTTTCCCGCCCCCAGCCCTCCCCTGGAATCCTCGGAAAGGCTTTTTTGGGGAGCAGGGTCTTGGCTTCACAGGGGAAACAGGGGAAAGGAGTGTTGACATGAATGTTGAGCCCGAAGCAAACCCAGTGGTCATGGTGCCGAGGCGGTTGGATTCCAGTGTTTCCGGTGGGCCGTTGCTCAGAAAGGTCCGAATGAGCTAGAACTTTGGTGTCCGCCAAAGCGCGCCTTCGAGGGGTGAAATGTCTACCCAGGACAGCCCTGGTTGTGAAGCGATCCCGGTCCTGTAGTGGTTTGATCCCTTTCTTTCCGGACTCCATGGTCATTTCCCACAGCCCTGTTGATGCCAAATGAGGCCCCTTGCAAGTGGCAAAAGTCAAAGCAAAACCGCGCCCCCATGCATTGCTCCCTTCTCTACTGGGATGTCTTTCGATGTTGTTTGCCCCGGGCCCCGGCACTAACAGTTTGCTCCAAATTTACCTGGCTAAAAACGGACGGAAGCACAGCATTCAAGCCATTCGGCTTGCTCAAGACTCTTTGGGACTGGTTTGGCATTTTTTCCAGATTCCGCCAGCTGCACTTCTCTATCACTCAACGCGGGGAATCCACAGGTGAATCCGGCCTTTAAAACCCAACCTCTGAGCTGTTGATCCTCTTTTTTGGAAGGGGGCCCGGTCCCTTTACAATTCACCAACAAAAGGGCCGCCATGTTTTTTCCCCACGGAAAGCCGCTAGAGGTCTTGGAAAAAGAGATTGCAAGGTCTACCGCCAGCTGAAGGCAGTCTCCGCCTTCCCCATCCAGGCCGGGGCGGGTGGCTTGGAAGGTATAGTATTACTTGACTGCTATTGGGTTGGATCTTTAGGCTTCAACTTTTTTGGAAATAAAGGTGTTTTCCACTAAACCCCCAAAAAGTTAAACTTTTTGCAGGGGGGTCAACAGCAATCAAGATATAATGAACAACCCTGATCATAGTTCCAGATCTCCGCGCCCTTTCTAGAAAGCATCTCATAATAATAATGGCTCTGGATTTGTGAATAGAAATGTTATCAGGCTTACATTGTATTTCATATCCTATCTTATGCCATGTCTTCCTGAGTCTTTATAAGATAGGCTTGGATATGCGAAGAAAAGATGTGACTATAGAATGGGTTCCAATACAACTTGAAAATTAATATCGTTGCTTTTATCTTTCTATACACCCCGAACTTAGCGGTGCCATCGTTGGGTGCGCTGCCCCCCCATGGACCGCTTTTTGTGAGCATCCCTGCAGTATGCTGATTTTTTCAATCAGGTTCTTGATGTTTCCTCCCCGTGGTTTTAAGCATCACCAATCGGGCCCATGCTTTGGGGCGATGTTATTTCGAACACGGTTGGATGCAATGTTTGTGGAATTCATCTGTTCTTCCCCTTTTGTGGAGCAATCTTTTAGTACTCTTTTCATATTCTGAAGGGGATCCGTACGAAAGCCTCCAGGGGTTGATTCTTCATTATTTTCAACCATCTTTCTTTTCAAAAACCGATCGCCGTTTTCCCTAAAGAAGGATTCCCGGGAAAGAAATTCGGATCCCTGGAACAAATGGACACGGAAGGTATCCCTAGAAAGTCGCCAGCCAAACCCGTTTTCTGGGAGCTTCTTTAAAGCCATGGTTAACTGGGGAACCGACCTTTTGGGCCGGAGCAGGTCAATTGTTTCAATGGCCAACACGTATCTTCTGAGCTCTTTCCTACCAAAGGTGCAGCTTTGGGTCCCCCGAGTAGTGCCCTTTTCCCTTGGCTTTTTTTTGGGGGGAGGGAGGGTTCTGACAAAAAGGGTACCCTTATGCTAGCCTCTCTGGAGGACCCAGTGCTTCTTTCCTGCCAGCTTCCATGTCTCAAAGCGTGTTGGCCCAGCCAGCGTCTGCCTCGCGCCTCGTAGGCGAATTTGTCGGAGGCCATCCTTGCGGCCTCCAAGGCCCAGGCGAGCGCGGCAAACCGTTTTTGGGGGCTGGGACCGGGAGATGGGACATCTCAGGTGCCCATCGGTTTGGATAATTTGAAGCCCTGGTTCTTGAGGGTTGGGAAAATGATGGTAAATTGGCAATGTTGACCCCACATTCTTATGTTCCTTTTGCTTTCTCCTTTGGGTGGGGGGTTCCCTTGGCTACCGGGAGGGAAATGGAATCGAATCGGGTGTGTAGTAAGCGCTGATGAAGGCCACGGCCGGTGAATTCAAGCAAGCAGGGCAGAGCTACCGTTGCCTCTCATTTGTTGTGTTAAGCTTGATCGATCCGTGTTTTTGTATAAGTTTGTGGGTTGTTCTTGGTCGGTGTTTGGTTGTTGGCCGAGATTGGCTGCCGTTTTACCCGCGTGTGGGCATTTGTTCTCCCAGCGGGTGGCAAGCGGGTGGCCGATCCTGGAGACATGCCCATTTCAGCTGTTGAGGTCAGCCCCGTTTGCACTGCAAGTGAAGCAGGGTCGGACAAGTTTCCCTACAAGTTACCTTTTGGTGGCTTTTGCTTGTCGTTGCCTTCTGGTGGGTTTTGCTTGTCGTTACCTTCTGGTGGTCTTTGCTTGTTTGAAATCGCAGCGTTGAACCGACTCAAAGTGAGCTGCGAAGCTTGCGGTCTGATCTCTAGGGAAATCTGGGAGCCCTGTCTGAGCGGGACTGTCTCACAAGTTGGGCAACCATGAGAACCCGGGGTGCTGATGTGATGGTTTTTCCTTTCGCTGCATCCCTGTGAGCAACCCTGCTCGTTTGAGCTCCTGTAGCATGTGGAGGGGCACCTCAACTAGGTGCCCTGGACACTTATAGGCATTTGTCGCCACTGACGCGCAAAAAGTCGGAGGCGGCGCTGAAGCAACCGGGGCTCAGCGATCGCGACATCGCAGAGGGTCAAAGGCAGCTTGAGCTGCTGGAGGCGGCGGAAGAGGCGTTTTTGCTCTAAACTTGTTGGTGCGACAAGTAGGAAAAGAGGGAATGAACCTAGGCGTTGGTCCCCGAATAAGGGCAACCTGGTGCGAGAAGTAGGGAAAGAGACTAGGTCCCCCAGTAGTGCTCTTGCTCACCACTTTTTGGGGGAGGGTTCCCCTTTGGCCATAGACTACAGAAAAAGGGAACCCTTATCTATCCTCTCTACTGGAGGGCCTAGCCTGAAGATTCATTCTCCGGCCTTTTCCTAGCCGTTTTGGTTTCTTGGTAGTTTTGGGCGTGTTGGACGTTCTAAATGCCTTCTAGGAGTTTGGGCAACCCGCGAACCCAAAAGCGTCTTTTTCTGAATTGCGGGCGGTTGCGGGGTTTTGCGGGCGTTTGCGGTCTTTTTGCGGGCGTTTTGCGGGTAATTCCGGGCGGGGAAATGTAACAAAGGACCAATTCTGCAATCTCACGACCCTTTAGGAGTTTTAGTAGTTTTAGACGACTTCACTAAAAATTGAGGAAAAGCAAGTCAAAGACGATAATTGCAGGAAATTCATGAAGAATGAATCTCCAGGAGGAGAGAAAGGCTTTGGTCCCCTTAAAGGAAACCACCAGTTGGATGGTTTACAGGGGGTCATTCCCTCATTCCGTGCTGAGCACCAGCAAATAAAAGGGCATGATCATTGGGTAGCCCGTTCCCTTTTTGCGTGGTGAGTTTCGCACCAAACACGGTCAACCACACAAAGTGTTCCTTTGTTTCTACCATGGTCACTAGGCAACTGGGAAGCGAATCAGTCTTTTGTTGTCATGTTTGGATTTATCCCGAAAAGGATTAGATAAAATTTGGTTTCCCCACATGCATGTTCCATTTGCTGGCCATTGTGGAGGGGGGTGATACCCGCTTCCCCGTCTCGATGGCCAGGGCGGCGCGCGCTGGCTTTGCCTTATGCTGAAGGTGCAGGCGCGAGATGAAGCGCGAGTTCTCTGGTTGATTCCTTTTGGTTAGTTTGGACAAGAATAGATGGCACTGGTTTAGATGGGGTTCATTCCATGTACCAGGGCCATCTATTTTTCCAAAAGGCCACCTATGTTCCTTGTCCATTCTTTTCAACCATCGTTCTTTCCAAACAGCCGGATTCGTTTTCCCTGGGTTTCCGGCGGTTTTCTAGATAGAAGGATCCCTGGAAAGAATGGAAATGGAAGGTACCCCTAGAAGTTCCGATTGGCAGGTCCATCCAGCTGAGATCGTCCCCGCTTCTTTGCTTCCAAGTCTACGGATTGGGACTAGAAAATCCTGGGCCAATGCTTGGGTAAACAGCCCCTGTGCAAATGCTGTTAGCTCTTTTTTTCGCTATCCGGTATTCACTACACAAGCATGACCCAACTTCTACATAGCCACTTACATGATGCACACAGCCACGAATGTGGCTGCCAGACCCTGGCCCTAACCATGCTGTAAAGCGCAAACATCACAGGCTTCGGATTTGGTTTAGACCATGGCAACTTCCGAAATTTTGCTCGGTTCAAAGCGAATCGCCCGGATCTGACCTTTGGTTTTCCCTTTTTGGTCCATATCTCGCTCCCTTGGAGCTTGAATTTAAGAAGACCACTTTGGCGAAGAACCGAAAGTTGGGATTTGTTTAGCCACAACTCAGGCAGTGATAATTTTAGTCATGGCCGCAAAAACGCTGATCACCTTGTAGTTCCAGGCCCTTTGAGTTGAGACCAGTATGCCTTGCTCAGAAGGCTCCAAAGGTGTGGTAGGACACGGGCAAAGTCAGCGCGATTTTCCGAGGAATTGCTTCAGGGCCGTGCTTAGTCTTGCTGGTTTGCAGCAGGGAATGAGTTGAACGACCTCAACCAAAAAAACCATCCCCTCTGGTTTCCTGTATTCGGGAACCCCTTCAGGTTCATTCCCGACACCCGGACTCGTTCGTTCATTCCCTACATATCGCACCAGCAAGTAGTGGGATTCCCCTAACTGTTCACGCGATAGAGGATCCATTTTGAAGGAAGATGGTCTTCCAGGACCCCTTAGCCATCCATGTTAGCGGACAGGAGGGTATCCTTTTTGGTGGGAAACATTCAGATGCCCAGTGGATTCCACCAGTTGTTCCACTCCTTTGGCAGTCCAGTAAGGTGCAGGGCTCGATAGGATACACAAGGCCTGGTTTGGTTTCGGCAAGCTGTGTCGCTCGAGACCGGTACCCTCGAGCAAAGCTTGCCACATCGGATGCACTCTGGGCATTGAATTCGATCCACTGCCTCAGCCACAAGCGGATGACGCTTTCACCAAAGTGTCGATAATTGCTGTTGGCACTTCTGCAAAGGTGATCCTTTGCTGCCTCTCGAGATGGTTCGGCTCTGGTGCCAGAAGAGGAATGTGGCCTGCAGCATGGACTTATGGGATCCGCGCAGTGTCGCTAGACCTGTTGCATGGTATGTGAGACTTGGATTGGCGCGATATCATGAGTCGATCTTCACTCTGAACGATGCTCGCAGGATCTCGCTGGCAAGGGTGGTGGCGAACAGTCGGGTCACTACCCCTCACTGCTGGCCTACCCCAAGTTTCTACTGATGCTGATTTTAACAATGGGAGGGCACTGCTGGTCCCGCCAAGAACGCCAGCCCGGCCCGGATTCTCTATATATATATAGGCTGATTCTGCTTTATGTCCAAGAGGCTTGGTAGTGAGTAGCGCCCGAACAGCTCGCCCAGGCTGTCATCGGGAAAGTGGTGTAGCTAGCAGCAAAACTCAAGTTGGGTCGAATTGGGGGTTTAATAGGTAGGGCTTTGCGCCAGCGCACTGGATTTAATTCTTTGTGTTGAGTGCCCCTGTGTGAATTGGCCACAGGGCCAATGAGTTTGGGGAGCTATGTGTGCACTTTCTCCCTTGGCTGCAAAGCTGGAGAGAGCGCAAGCAAATTTGGTTGTTTTCCCGTCGGTCTTCCCTTGAGAACAACCTGCAAAAGAGGGTCCAAAGGGAGGGGGATTCCTTCACAAAGGATATTTTTGTTGTGGATTAACAGTTTCTGCTGGCACTGGTTCCTTGAGCAACTCTGTTGCACGGTCACCTGTCTTTTTTTCTGGTTCTTTCAAGTCAGACCCAGCGTTTTGTTTGGTTTTCGGTTCTGAAAGTGGGTGTTATTCGTGCTAGTCTAGGTCCAAAGAGAAACCACTCATTTTGACAGGAGACCCACCTAGAATTATGTGTGTGATAGTTTTTTCCTTGTTAGTTAAGAGGACACACAAGGATGTTGTTTGAATGCCTCTTTCAATGGGAATCGGTCTCTTTTTTATTGAGTCAGCGGCGCCCTGGACGGAAAGCCACAAGGAGGTTGTTTGAATAACAGCCCTACCAAGTTTCTTGCGAGATCGCCTGGGGGGCAAAGCGGGCTCACAATGATGTATGTCCTATTCTTCAGACTTCGGACTCCAATTCTCATTTCAAGCCTCAGCTTCTTTATTGAACATAAATGCAGATAGTTGTTCCAACGTGTTCAACACGAGAGGCCAACTATGGCCAGCTAATAACTATTGGTTTAGTCCCATAATCATCACTGGCTTTAAAGCACCCCACCCGCGTACAGTAAAGCGGGATATGTGGTGTCACAGAAACCTTTGGACGGACCCCCCCTGTATTTGGGCGTCTTCTTTCGAGACTACCGGCTACCCCCTTTTTGTGGCTGTTTTAAAGGCACGCCATACGGGGAAAACCGTTGCGCCGTGTTGTTTTTTGTGAACCCAGCGGTTTGGCCGCGTTCCGCTGCAGGCTGTGGCGCCTCAGCTCTTTCCTTCGAAGAAGCCAGGGCTGGGAGCCCGGAACGCTCGAGCCAGTCGGACCGCCGCGTTTTCGTCCAGCCCGTTTTTGTTGGTTCCCGGTCGCGGCGTGGTCTCGAACTTGGACTCGGACCTCAAATGATTTCCATGCCAAAGGTTTGGGGACCTGGTTGTTTTAAATGTTCCTTTAGCCCAAAAAAGGGCAGCCTTGAAAAAAGATGTTCAAGAAATGGGTGGTGTGTTTCTTTTTGCTTGGCTTCACTAAGCAAAAGGGGACCCGCAAAGAAACATAATCCATTATGAAGGCTGGGAGGTGAGCCCATGCAATGGGTTTGGACTATGGTCCCTTCCTGACGAAAGTGGGACACGTGCTGAGCGAGATCTGCTCCAAGTTGCTTTTCTCCGACCAATTTGGGTGGCTTTTTTGTTTGTTTTAGGATTTCGGATTTGGACACAAACTCCCAAAATGGCGCAACGGTTTTCACCTTGTGGTCCCCCTAAGCCCAGCCAAAAGGGGTCCCCTAAAAAAGACACCCATTTCTGGCACGGTCTATGGAGCAAGCCTGTGAGAAACCTGTACAAGGGGTATGCAGTTTGTCGCTCTGTTTTTGGCACGTACTTCCTTTGAAAGAGATGGTCAAAACGCTTAGTGCCTGAAAAGACTCGCTCAATTCGCCTGTGAAGGTTCCGTGGGAAATGGATGATGTGGGCACCATCAGCGCACAAAAGTTGGCCATGAGCTTTCCGGCTTTCCGTGGCTTAAATATGAACCCCTGGCACTGTGGATGGAGAAAATCCTGCACCACCCGAGGGACCGTGGAATGATGATTCCCCTGCAACTGCCAGCGAACAATGGTTCATGAAGCCTTGTAATGGTCAGAAAGTCAAGCCATGGCACTTGATTGGACAGCGGCCGGCCAACATAGGCTTTGAGCGGCTCCCTGGGGAAATCACTCCCCAGCCTCCCAACTACCAAACCAAACCACAAAGTAATCAGAGGGTTCTTCGAAACGAACCTTTCCCTCCGGATTCCCAGGAGCGAAAAGGTTTCGAAGAAGGAGTCGCATAGTCATTTGGACAGGCGGGCTGGCGATTTCTCGTTCTCTCCAAAGCCGGGCGTTCAGCCTTTTGCACTGTACAAGGTTGACCACCCACCATGCCCACCCCGTCATCCACCCGCCCACCCCAGTTATTCACCTGCAAGCTAAGTGGGTGCCGTGAATCAAGGGCTCGACCTGAGTTGCCGTCGTTTTCTCCGTGGCCTAGCGACTTGATAGATGGCAAGGCTCAGGTGGGCTCAGGCGAGGTAAGGCAAGGCCTCGTCGGCACCCGAGTGGCAATGGGTTCCCAGAACGTGACCTAGGTGTGTCTCAACATAGCCCCTCAAAATTAAGATGATGTTCCCCAAAAAAACGGCAGACAAACGGTACCATGACTCAAAAAGCAAAGATCGCATGATGAAACTCTCTTGCCCAAAGCCGACAATCCGACCTTTTGACCTTTTGTTTTCTCCAATTTTGTTTTTTGTTTGGGCAACTGGGCAAACCAGAGACATCCCCGCCTCGCCCTTGTGCAACCGCACTTACGCCCGTCGATCCAGCCAATCTATGGTGCTACGCGCAGCCGCAGCTCGGGACGACTCGGTGTTTATGGAATCGGGTCCCGGGCCCTTCCCCCTTATGGAGGGTCTCCCTCTAATTGGTGATTTGGATTCGTGGTTTGGATTTGGATTTGAGCCCCTTGTTCTTAGATTACTCTGTGGAGGGTAAATGGGAAACTACCCGGTACCCCATAACCTCTAAACCACCAATCGGGGGAAGCTGAACAACATCCTTTTGAAACTCAAAGTAGCAAAGCTAGAGAGACCACGTAGACTTGCGGGGTTACCTTCCCCATTCTTTCCAGGGATCCTTCTTTCTAGAACACCTCCCGAAACCGAGGGAAGCGGCCGGTTTTTGGAAAGAACGATGGTTGAACAGAATGGGGAATCAACCCCTAGAAGCTTTGCGGGGTGCCCTCTAAACCACCGATTCGGCTCCAAACCACATGAAACTCGGCATGTCACCCGCTCGGTGTCAACCCGTCAGGGCCGCCAGCCGGGGCCGGCGCGTGTCAGTCTCCGTGGCCTTGAGCCACGGCTTAAGCGGTGGCAGGCGCGGACTCACGGGGACGGAAGGATGGGCTGGGTTGGAAATGCCTTTGGTGCTCCGAACGTGGCAGTTTCACTAGAGATCCCCAAACTCAACTTGGTGAATTCGGTGGTTAGTGCCACATAGTGCAATTTTATGTTCAGCGAGTCTCCCATTTCCCTCTTTTGGAGCTCCGGAAGTGGGCAGTTTCAAGAGCAAACCACCAGTCAATGGCCAAGTCTTGGGGAAATTCCAGTGGGGTGGGTTGGGTTGACGGGTCTCCAAGGTCATTCCGCTGAAAGCTTTGGGGTCTGTTCGGAGGTGCCTACGCTTCCGGAAGGGCTCTGGAAGTCAGATTGAAGAGACACAATCCCCTGCGCTGATTCTTTCTGGTGGATTGTTTCTAGTGCTTCAGGTTGACAGAGTATATGAAAAGCATCATCAGTCTTCACTTCACTGTTCTGGTTTTCGTCTTTGGGCTGACATTTAGTAGGGGGCTGCCAAAAGCACTGCTGCAAAACACAAACCGTCTTCTTCCATACCAAGGCTTGGACAGCGAAGCATACTGTGGATGGACAAAAGCCTGCATCACCTAAGAAACCCTTTCATGTTGACTCCCTTATAATTTCCGCAGAATTAGCTCCCCTTTTCCTTTTTTGCTTTTTTGGGGTCCCCTTTGTTTTCCACTAGTTAGGCAATTTTATTTTATTTTCCCGCTGGGGTCCTAGTTCCAGCCAAGGTAAATTCGGCCAAACAATGGGACGTGGTACAATTAGCACTCAACACTCAAAACTCAGGCAGTGACATAGGTGTCCTGTTTGGTTGTTTTGGTAGAAAAATAGATGGCCCTAGTTTAGCTGGTGGTTTAATATCATCTACCAGGGAAACCCATCTATTTCCTCTAAAAGGACACCTATGGGCAGTCAGTTGCAGAGGTGCTACATGGATGTGGCTCAAACACATGTGCCAGAATGGCACCTTGGTATGTGGAGCCAAAGGCTAAAACCTGCGGTTTGCCCCAGCACTTTGAGTTTTGAGCCACATTGATGTTTATTGCGAGGGTTCTTTCTGTACGCCTTTTCCAAACACCATCTTGGCAGAATCAAAGGTCAAGCAAGCCTAAGCAGCTTGCATTTTTGAGAGGTTGAGACAGGTGGTTGCCGAATTCTCCGGTGGCTTGTCATACCGGCCTGTCCAGGCTGCCGTTAAACAGTGCCCAGACGCCTGCTTTGCAAAGTTGAAATCATCCTGGAACCAATCCTGAGCCAGCACACCACCATAGTACAACAGACAAGCGCACTGGGCGGGAAACGCAGTCTTGGAGGGCCCTGGCAACGTCGTCCCATATACAGGGTATGTAAGTGACACAAAAGAGTGCATACCTGATGTCATCGCACAGAATTCAATGTGGAAAGCTTTTCTGGAATACCTGCCGTCAGCCGGTTTTCTTGGGAAAAACCCCAGCATTGCTGGGTCATAGCCACGGGATTTCATTTGTTAGACAAATACCCCTTGGTGAGGCCACTGTGGCAACTTTGCTTGCTGAAGCGGCCTGAAATGGGCACTTGGCACGCCACCTCTGCTGGACGGCTTGCCGATGGTGCGAAAGAGCGAGAGAGAGAGAGAGAGAGAAAAAAAAACATGACCACTATCACCAGGGCGATGGATGTTACTTGTGTCAAATTCGAATGGGAATCCTCAATCCTTAGCCCTTGCTTTGGGTGGCATAAGGGTCCCCTTCTATTAAAAGTGTCACCAATTGGCCAACTTCTGGGAAAAACACATCGAGTAATTTGCTCAGCCCCTGCAGGCGCGGCTCAATCTCGCACTATGCGGGGCGCTGAGCATGCGAGCATAGGGACCACGGACTGGGAACTCGATTTGCTGACTTACGTTTTACACCCTGGACTCACTGAATATGGGCCAATTAGGGATTTGGCCCTGTGAGCTGCTCAAAGCCTGCCAAAATTGGGCCCCGCCGACAAGAGGATTCCTCTCAGCAGTCGGGTTTCATGCGAGTCTGTAGGGGAACATGGGGTGTTTCTGAAAATAGGGGACCCCCCAAACTGGTATGTTTTCCTTTGGTTGCCTTTTGAACAAAACTAAAAAAGGGGTACCACCAACAAAAGACAGCATTCCCAGCCTGGTTTCTAGAGGTCCTGGATTTCGAGCTATGGATCCCTGCGGCTCACTGGTCCCACTATCACTTCCAAACGCAGCGAGCGCGCAGGGCCAGCTGACCTGTGGACTTGTTGCTGTAAAAACAAAAAATCTAGGTCTCGCAGTAGTGCATTTTTACCTTTTTTGGGAGGAGGGCTCCCCTACTAAAATAGACTACAGAAAAAGGGTACCCTACAGACTACAGCAAACCTAGTCATTTTCCCTCCGACCCCGGCAAAATTGCTCGACAGGCTTCTTGGGTGGCTTGTGCCCAATTGGGACATTTCATCGCCGACCCAGCCGCAACAACATGCGGCAGCCCATGATTCCGCGTGCCCAATATTTCCATGCGGAACCCAATAGTTCCACACAAGACACAGGACCAGCGACCCCATAACGCTCCCCCTGAGTTGGCTGTGTTTAAACTGTAGTCCTTTGGATGTGCGCATTTTTTGACGACTCTGAGGTGTGCGTGGCACTCCTTTCTTTGGCCGTGGGTCAAAACCAATGGTACCATGTTGGGGTAGGTGCACCACCCATGTTAGTCTATTTCAGTGGGGATTGAATCGGATGTCCACTGGGAGTACCGGGGTTTTGACCCATGGCGCTTTCTGACTTGGTACCTACTTAGCTCCTCTTAGCTCCGATTCCCCGTCTTTTCCGAGCACATACCTGACCGAGGGCGTATGCCCGACTTGACCGTGAAGAAGTCCCAGACTTTCAGTGTCCCGTTTTCAGGGGTCCTTAGATTTCGATTTCCCTGCAGAAGCTGCAATTGTGTTGGAACCCACCAGTAAACCGCAACTTTTGAAGGGGAAATTAGCAGTGTCCTCTATTTTTTCGAAGGACGGGGTTCATGCCCTTGAGCAGCACTTGCTTGCGCACATGGCACCAGAACGTCTACTGCCTCCCACTTCCTGAATTCCTGGAAGATCAGTTTAGTGTTAAAGAAAAGCTCGGTTCCCCTACTAAAATAGACTGCAGAAAAAAGTTGGTACCCAATTCTAACCTCTCTACTGGAGAGCCTAGAAAGGTTTGGACTGTTGTTAGCTTTTGGGCCATCAGCTCATGAAGCAATGCCTTCCCACCTCACCCATCGGGAGGCAAGCCTCATCCAATCTGCGACTTGCCTCCGTCACTCAGATCCAAACCCCGGATGAATAAACCATTGGTTCATTGATAGGGGGTGTTCCCCTTTTAGTGGAGATTCATTTTTTGGAGCCATCCCATGGATAGGACAGGTGCTTCATTTGGGGTGGGCACTAAAACACCAATCTGACAGTTTTACACTCGCATCCAAAGTGTTCCCGGGAGGCGGAGGCTTTTTGACACCCCCTGATTGATCGTGTAGCTGTTATGAGGCGATCACTTTTGTTCTTCCCAAGCCATCGTTCACCCAACTCGAGTGGGGCTCATAAACCGGAAGTAGAAGGCACATATTATGTTGTCTTTGTGTCAGGATGTTGTTTTTTATTATTATTATTATTATTATTATTATTATTATTATTTTTTTAAAAAAAAAAATAATCACCATGGGGCATTCACTTTGAAATGAGTATGGGTGCCCCTTGGTAGGTATACTTTCCTTTATTGGGCTAAGGTTACTTTCCTGTATTTGGCTGAGTTTTTTTGGTTGACGTCAGGAAAGAGGGTTTTACTAAATCAACATGGGTCATTCACTTTGAAATGAGTATGGGTCCCCTTGGTAGGTATACGTTGCTTTATTTGGCTAAGGTTACTTTCCTCTGTTTGGCTAAGGTTAGTTGGAAATCCTTTATTTGGCCACGCCCAGTGAACATCCCAATTCCCAAGAAAAGAGCTAAAATGGGTGGTGAATTCACCTACCAACCAAAATGGTACCCACAGCCAATTGGCTAAAGGCTAAGGGAATCACGTTCCAAGTCGCCGCATCCGCGGAAGACCCCTGAAGACGAACTGAGCCCATCGATCCATCGATGCGTCGCTCCAAGGCCTCCGAGGCCCATTGAGTGAGAGGCCCGGGGCAGATCTGTCCCGTGCGAAGGGGTGTGTATCAAAGTTTAGCCATGTGTTTGATATGCATATATCTATAATATATATAATAAGTTGTTGGGTCTGTTAAAAGCTATGGCTATAGAAGTTTTATATGAAACATATATATATATATAATATATATAATATATATATATATATATGTATTTGGTGTAGACCCTGCACATTAGAGCAAAGTCAAACGCAGCTGTCCGAGTTCAGTGCTTGCATGTGTGCCGGTGTCCTTTCAGATTGGAACCTCAGCTTAAATGCTGGAGTTTTGGGTGAGACTATGCATTTTGTATTGCCCTAGGCAGCAAAAGTCAAAATACAATGAGGCTATGTTGCCTGCAAGTCAGATCAGCATGGGACACAGGTTGATGCAGTTTTCTTCTCAAGTGGGGTACCTAATAATTAGTTGAGGTTGACCCAAAACCAGTTTCAGCTTCGGTAAAGCCACCTTCCTGGACACGGCTGTTCCCCCTGTTTTGGTTCGGTGTTTCGTGTGAGGGCGACCAAACACGGTGTTTGGCTAGCGCAGGTTGGGAGGAAGCACCGACGGGACACATTGATGAACCGCTTCAACAAGTTACTATCGCTAGCCACGCTAGCCAGCACTGGCCATCACTAACCACAGCATGCCAGAGCCTTTGTCCTTCAATCAGGCAAGCCCTGGTGCGTATTAGCTACTAGGAACCAAGAATGGCGAAGCCCGTAGTTTACGAATAGGGGATGTGTCTTGAGGGGGATGTTTCATATGCCCAGCGGATTTGGTCAACATCAGCAACAAGAAGGAAACAACATGCGGGGCCATCATCCAGGCTGTGAATAAGTGCGTGCAGTTCACCGGAATGAAGCAGGTGCTCCCATAGTGCATTTGAAGCGTTTCCTTCAAACGCGTCCACGCATGCATCCATTCTGTAAAGCCATGCAGGGCGTCGGGGATCCTTGGGTGGCCCCCCTTCAAGCATGGCCCCACTGTGGATGGACCAAATCCTGCACCACTTTGAAACCTTGGGATACCACTGTTTGTTGGCATTTACAGGGGAATCATCATTTCAGGGTTTCTTAGGTGATTCGTCCATCCACAGTATGGCCTTTGGGAGGCTGACTAAGCCGAAGAGCAAGCCTCATTAAGGCTTAGGCGCCTGTTCCCATGGGCGACTTCCTCTACAAGCCCCTGGTCTTATGACAAATTTGGTGAATTCTTTGTTTCTTCGCTGGGGCTTCTGAAGGGATGTCATTGTTGGAGCACTTATTTGGCAATTCCTAGCTTGGACTTCAGAAGTGCGGCAAGGCGCTGGCCGCAAAGGGCTGCATAGTGTGCTGCGTTCGCATTGCTCGTGATGTTTGCGCATTGCTATCCAGCTCCAGCATCCGCAGCCCGAAGACCATGGTGCTGGACATGGCAGGACTCTTCGCCATACGGTGTGTTCCGTTTTTGGATCCGATCCTCCCTTTTCGGGTTGGCTTAAAACGGCACCAAAGGAAAACCGAAGCCATGTTGAGGGTCCCCCATCCGATTTAGAGACAAACCCAGACCATGTTGAAAAACTACTGGCCACAGTCCTTTCACACAAGAAATGATTAAAACAAAAACAACAAAACAATCTTGTTCACACACAAAAACAAACATCTTAGTCTTAGCCCTTGGAAGCCCAGGAAGCATCCCGTCAGCAGCTGGCTATACATCTTTCTCATGTTGTTTCCTGTTTTTTTCCTCTTAGTTTGTCCATTGGTTTTACTTGGCTGCAAACGCAGCCCGTGGCGAAACGAGCAGCAAGGGTTGTGAAGATACATGTCGGCCCCAAAGCAACAGCCCAGTGTTTTGACATTGACGGGCTTAAGGCTTAGCTTTTTGCCCTTCTGGGGTTCCTTTGCCTTTCCACTGCGGAAACCAACTTTTTGCGGGTTAGTTGGGAGGCAAGGGCTGCCACTTGAAGCTTCCGCCATGCTGGAGATGTCAGCGGTGCCCAGCCAGCGTGAACCGAGGCTGGAGCCGAGGAGTCGCCTAGTGCACATTAGCACCACCCCCTTAATCCTCGATTAGGGGGGGGGGGGTCAAAAATGTAAGTTACTTTTTTGGGGCTCAGTTTCCCTGGTTTTCGATCGTTTTACAGTTTGGCAAAGCACACATCTGGCCCTGGCTCCCTTTGAAATGACTGTATGTTTTGCGCATGTGTATGTGTTTTCCGTATTTGCCCATTGCTTTTCCAGAAGCTTCTTGCCCAGCGCACTCCAAGGGGGCTTCCATATTGGATTGCCTAAAAGCAGAAAGCGCGAACCTCAAAAATGTAATATTCAATTTTTCAGGTCCCCCCCCGCCTTAAGGGGGTGGTGATGTGCACATTGAAACCGGTCGAATCCCGGTGCCTGAAAGAAAACCGGACATCGTCTCTCTCTGTGTGTGTGTGTGTGTCTCACCTGCTATTGGGTTGGATCTTTAGACTTTAACTTTTTGGGAAATCAAGGGGTTTGCTACCTAGTCATGGCAGGCAGGAGCTCCTGGAAGAAGAGGACGTGCAATTGAAGGCGGGCGACTTGTCAAAGATCAATGCGGCTTCGCTGCTTCGCCACGGCTTGGGCTGCATGCTGAGTCTGCTTTTGTCAGGGGGGTGTCCGCAAGAGGCACTGAAGGGCGTGCTCCCTCGCCAGACGGAATTTCTCGGACGCTGTTAAATTTTTGGTCGCCCAAAGCCCAGAGCGACTCGACTTTATAGCTTTCCGATTTTGGACTTTCAGTTAAAGTCCCCCAGTGGTGCCCTTTTACCCTTTTTTGGGGGGAGGGTTCCCCTTCTAAAATAGACTTCAAACAAAAAAAAATGAAATAAGCAAATCGGGTACCCTTATCCTCACCTCTCTACTGGAGGACCTAGTCCAGTTAAAGTCCCAGACCGGCTTCCGGTCGCCGGAGTGCGGCCGCGAGCTTCGCATGCCCGCGTTCCCTTTCAAAGCGCGCAGGTGTCCTGGGGAGTTGTGGGCGGAGCTTGTGAAGAGCTCATTGAGTATGAGGCGGGGGCTCGGGTTCCTTGCCGCTTCCAAGGGATGTCAAGAGCATTTTCAGGTACGGGTTGTGGAGTTTGGAGGCTTGCATGCCACCAAACAATACGCTTAGGCGGTATACGCCCATCATATGACTGGTTTTCTGTCCTCCGTACCTCCGAAAGCCCGTACCTCAGCTTCTGAAGGCCGATCGACCTTTGATCGTGGCCCTGTGTTCAGGACTTCGGATGTGCGGTTTGATTGCCACTTGTTGGGCCGATGCGAATTGAACTTGAACTGGTGGCGCAGCAGCGCTTTTGGTCCCAAGTTTGGATAAGGGTTTGAGAGGTTACAACTGAGTGTACTTTCAGGCCCTCAGAGTTGAAGTTCTGGCCTGCAGTTACGAAAGGTTTAACCTGCTATTTCCTGGCCGTTTGGTTGCAGGTTGCAAGTGAGGTATCGTATCGGTCGCTGCAGCAGCTCGTGGCACAGGTGTTGGCATCAGGCTTGGGCGTTTTGGTGCCAAATAGCCCGTGATCGTTAGCATGTCCATAGCCAAACCCTACGGGGACGTTGTTTTGTCGGGCCCCTCATCGAGGCACCCAGTGTTTTGATGAATGTTCAAGTCAATCCAAACCAAGGCAGAGAAACCCCCATCACATGGATGTCTCCACTGAAAGCACCTCCCTCCACTTCAACACCAACAGACACGGCAAACCGTCGCGGCTTGAGGCTTGGTTTGCAAAGTGGGATTTGCCATGGAGAGTTGGCAATCGATTTCTTTTGGCTTGCCAACCTTCGAAGCAAAGGAGGACCTGCTAGGTCTCCCAGTAGAGCCCTTTTACCCTTTTTTGGGGGAGGGCTCTCGTACTAAAATAGACCACAGAAAAAGAAGGGTTCCCTTATTCTAGCCTCTCTACTGGAGGACCTAGCCTGGGTTCTTCTAGCTGTTCCCCTGTTTTGCCTTTCTCAGGCTTCAAATTCTGGGCTCATTCTTGCCAGCGTTCGATGATCCGCGCCGGTTTTGGGGTCCTAAAGCCGCTCGGCTTTCTAGCCTCGGTCGGGTCGCAGGCCACGTGCTTCTCCCGGCGTTTTGCTTGGCTTGAGGGTGGCCGTCGGCACACGACCAGACCACAAGGGCAAAGCATCTCCTCCAGTAGAGAAATGAGAAGAAGTTGGTACCCGATTCTTTTTCGTAGTCTATTTTAGTAGGGGAATTTTCCAACCAAAAAAGGGTAAACGGGCACTACTTAGGCATAGGCAAAGCAGAAAAAAACGGCGGGCAAACAGAACTGGCATTCCGCGCGGTTGTCCCGCAGGGGCCAATTTTTTCTAGCCTGACAAGGTCTTGGAAGCTCCCCTTGAAGCAATGTGCCTGTTGGTGCTTGGTTGGTTCGTTGAGTGGAGGGCCCGGGGGCTCAAGAATGATGGGGTGATGAGTATTGTTTCCCCACAGGAGTTTCTTCCAGACCTGCCCAGCCGCAAAGTTCCCCACAGAAGCCTGGCTCCCAGCCAGCCGGTTCCTTAGCCTTTTAGCTTTTTAGTGTTTCGTGGTCGTTTCCATTTAACCCACTAAAAGTGAGACTCACTTGATCCGCGGGGGATCGGAAAACGGGCAGCCCAGACTAAGTCATAAGTACTTGGCAACTTTTTTGAAGGTCGAGGGGACACCACGGGTACCTCCAGAGTAACTTTTCGGAGCCATCAGCGCGCCTCGCGAAGCCGAAAGGTGGGCTCCTTTGTGTCTGTGGCGGACGCAAGAAGGCGATGCCGCGCGTGGGGGGGGGAGGCGCAATCGGTCTGGAAGTCTTCCAAGCATTCATACTCGATTTGTTTTGCCCAAAGCCTTCTTCTTTTGACCTTTTTGTATTCAGATGTTTTTTTTCGTCAATGTTTGGGCATGGCTTTTTCAGGTTCGCCTTGATTTCTGACTCCTTTGGGCAAGTGAGGGGTTTTAGCGTTTCATCCGACTTCTACCGCCAGGTGCCTTTTTCGCAGGCCCTGGCTTTCCTTTTAAGTCCCAGCGGACAACTTGACCTCGGATCTAAGTGGAACCGGTCACTAAAGGGGGGGGATGTTCCCTCCAACGGTGGTCTCGAATGCCCCGCTCCAAGGCATTGGACCCCCCCCAAATCCTAACTCAACCAGGGGTTCTACTTACATCCAAAGTGAGAGGATCGGTGGTGGGAGCCTTGAAGCTTCGGTAGATGTTGAGTACAGAGTGGTCAGCAGTCCCTTCGCCCAGCGCGAACTGCCCGTTTGCCCTGCCCGTTGGGTGTTCTGATTCATCGCTTTCTTTAACTCCCAATATTAATATATATATATATATATCTCTGTAAATATATATTTAGAAAAAAACGTGTCTCAGGCCCGGATTCTTCCTACGCTACCAGTTTCATCTCCCATCAGTTTTCGGTGAGATCAGTTCCTTGATCAGCCTGGAAAGCTGTTTTGAAGGTCCAATTTCCCTCTATTCAATCCCACTGCTTCCAATTGCCATTGCAGCAAGAGAAAGCCATCATGCAAAACCCATAGAGGAAACAATTCCTGGTTACGTACTATATACTGGTAATTGCTTCCAGTCCAGCGCTTCGAACAACGGTTGGTGTTTCCTTTAGGGGGCCAAAGAAAAAGCTCCATGTTGTTGTGTTTTGCCGGGGAGGGGGCGAGTATACATGGTTGTTGTTGGGAGACGATTTGCATTTCTGCTTGTTGTAAATCCCGACTTAACTGCTAAAAGATAATTTGTTGCTTCCCTTCCAACGTCAACCAAGTGCAGACTAGTTCGAGAAACTTCCATGTGCATTTCCCCTCTCAGAAGCTGGACGTTTTGCACCCGGGAATCCTCGCTTCCGCAGAAGGCCGTGCAGCGCTCTGTTTTTCCGGCGGATGATTTGCGGGTGCCGGTGCTGGCGACTCGGTCGATCTGCAGGGGGCGTCCTTTTTGTAGAACTTTTTCAGGGGCGTTCCCGAGAAGCTATCCCCAAAAGCTATTTTAGATTTTAGGGTAGACATGGTAGACTAAGTGTGGAGCACAGTCAGTCAGAACATATTGTTCCGGTACCCCAGATGTGGGCCAAAGGGAAACCAAAGGGACACGCTGGGGAGTCCAAATCAAAGCCAGGAAGCCACGCGAACTGAAGCTCTTCTCTTGTCATGGCCGGGTTTGGAGTCGTGCTTTGGGCCTCGAGTGTGGGTGATTTCGTTTTGCAAACTCATGATTGTTGTTGGGAACCATTTTGCATTGTTGCTTGTTGTGGTTTAGTGGTTGAAATCCAACCACTTAACTGCTAAAATTTAGTTGTTTGCTCCCCTTCCAACGTCAACCAAGAAAATGAACGCTGATGTGGAGAACGGGGGCTCGCTCCCTGAGTTCATGGAGCTTTAGTCGACATGGCCACTTTATTAACCTGCAACAACCTCTTGAGCATGTCTGGACGGGTGTGTCCTGTTTTCAGGGGATCCCGGCCCCCCCACCCCCCCCCCCCCACAAAAAAACATGGTGGTTTTTACCTGCTGGTTTCGCAAAAAAAAAAAACACAACACGGGATGCCCACCAAAAACAGAGCCATATCTGCTGGTTTGCCCAAGTTTTCGCACCAAGGGAAAGCTGCAGGCAAGCGCCAGTGAACTCCACGGGGGATGTGTGAAGAGGATGGGATGCGCGTAGTTTGAGGCATGTGGCACGTTCTCAGGGACATATACGCTTAGGTTCACACGCTGGCATGCACATAAAAAGTAATACATAGTGCATAATGTATATATATACACACATATATATATATATATATGGGTGTGTCTGTTTTTAGGAGACCAGTCCAAATGACGTTCCCGTTAAAGCCCCTCCACAACGGGGAACCCTCAAAATCTACTGGTGCCTTTTTGCTCGCGCATATCTTCAGCGAGGTCCAAAGAGCCGGAGGTTGAGACGCTGATGCGCTGCTACCTTTGGAAGCTGAACTCCAATGTGGAGCTCACCTCAGATCGCCTCAGCGACCTCTCCAACTGGCGCAGGAGCCCTGGAGCCGCGGGGGAAGGCCAGAATAAATTGATGCAGAGCCCGAGTGAAAACCAAAAGAGCCATGGAGATATTGATATTCCGAAGTTCCTGATGGAACAGCCCTTTGGGCAAATGCAACGGCATTGACTTTCAATGGGGGCAGACTTGGCCCCTTTAGGAAGTGTTGTTCACCTTGATTCCCGCATATCCCTTAGAAGCAAGCGGGAAATTCAATGCGTCTAGTGGGACGACGGCGCAACGTGCGATGTCGATCTTACTTGTTTCGGGCGCTCAAAGTGGTGCTTGCATGTCGCCTCCTTTTGGTTGGATCGCGCTGCTGTAGGCCTGAGGAGAGCGCAGGGAAATCTTAAGCCTGAACTGAACTGCTCCCGGCCCATCACAACTGAACAACAGGGCTTGTTCAAACTACTGAGTGCCAAATAGCGCATATGTTACATGGCATATGTTGTTGAATTTATCCGGGGCAAACCAACAGATGATCTTCCATTTGCTGAATAATATTTTTGATTTTCCCTTGTTGGGTTTAAAATGAAATCATCACTACTGGACATATTCTTATTTTTTCCTGGACCCTTAACCAAATGGAAGTGATGTGTTTTTTTCCAGACCCCGTTTCGACACTCGCCATTGCGAGGAGGCTGTTCTTCCTGCAGCGGAAGTCCACGACTGTGGCCTTGCGCTCGGCTGCCGATATGGCCCCTTCGTAGCTGGATATGGGTGTGGCCCAAATTAAGCTTCCGTTTGCTAAGAATACTGTTTATTTCCCCTTGCTGTTTTTAAAGGGAATCTATCACTACTGGAAGTATTTTTTTTCCAGGGGTCTCAACCAAATGGAAGTAAACCACCTGGGGCCGTAGGATTGGGTCTACTTTTCCACGTGCCGGGGTTCCATTTTGGGCCACACCCATACGGCTGCGTGTTTCTTGCAGGAATCCGTTTTTTGTGTTGCTCTCCTTTTTTTTGAGGATTGAGGATACCAAAATGGAAGACACACATAAATTGGGGTTCCCTCATTTAGAAACAAGCCGGTATGTTTTCTTGAACCATCATCAAAGAATGCCCCAACCCCCCTTTTGGCGGCAGCTGGACATTTGTATGGGTAATTGTCCTTCACTGATTTCAAGCTTAAGCATCAGCTTTGGGCATGTCTGAAGTGACTTCTTCTTTTGGAGAGGGCGATGCAGCCCAGAACAATGAACCACAGATTGATTGAGCAGGCATGGTTGGGAACATTCGACGCATTTTTGCTTATTGGGGTTTAGTGGTTGACATCCAACCACTTAGCTGCCAAGAATTATATGTTTTGCTCCCCTTCCAACATCAACCAAGCAGGGGCCCGGGCAGCGGGATCTTGCACTTAGCGCTTCGGCCACCCACGGAAGAAGGGTAGCTTCCAATTCCATTCTGAATCCAGGGATCCGAAATTCTTTCTAGAAAACCACAAAAACATGGGAAACGGCAGGTGTTTGAAAAGAAGGATGGGTGAAAAGAGTAGGGAATCAACCCCTACCGCGTACAAAAAGGTCTTGCGGGCCAAAAAGACATGAGTCGCTGTGGCAGTTTGGAGTGATGTTTCTCGGTCAGAAACGACGGGTCATGTACGGAGAATCAACGTTTCGGTCACAGTACGGCGTGAGCTGCAAGCGTTCTCTTGGTTGCAAGGTCATCACCTACCTTTCTGAGAGCCTCGGAGAGCAATGAGCTGCCTAAGGCCCCTACCTTTTTAGAGGTCTCCTCCAAGCATGTGTTGGATGATAGTGTATGCTGCATATGTCAGCAGAGCAAGAAAATGGTGGGCCACGGGTTCTGGAAGGGAGATGGCGGTGGACCGTGGAGCTCCAGATCCCTTCAAACGGTGTCTCAGAATAGGGATTTGGACCGCCCCCCGCAACCAACTCCCACGAGGGTACACTCAAAACAACCCCCCCCCAACTCACGTTCAGGGAGGCTATCAGAGTCATGAGTTCTTTGACCCAGACACGAGGATGTTTTGAGGGGCTTCCCTTTGAATTCAGCTACCCAAGGAGGTCATTAACCCGACGGCCTAAAGAATTCCTACTCAAAGGAAGCTTAGATGAGAAACTTCCGCGTTGCGGACGACTCAAACCGGACAAGCCAAGAAATGACAAAGTCACGAGATTGCCAAGCAAAGCCTTGCCAACTGAAGAGATGGCCAAGCAAGGACAGCGCCAAGCAGAGAGATAGCTAGGCAAAGATATGACGAATCAAAGACATAGCCAGGCAAAGGCATTGCCAACGAAAGAGGCCGCCAAGCAAGAACGAAGCCAAGTGGAGGGATAGCAAGGCAAAGACATATCCAAGCGAAGGCATACCCAAGTAGAGAGATAGCATAAGGACACAAGACATTTAAGACATTGCCAAGTAGATGGATAGATAGATCGCAGGGACATAGCCAAGCAAAGGATGCCGCGGAGCAAGTTTCCCTGGGGATTCCCTGGATTTCCCTTGGCTTGCGAAGCCGCCAAATCAAATGCCCAGGAAAGGCAACGGGGTGGTGCAGCTGGCGTGCAAGCTGAGCGGCGGCAGGCTCTGCCTTCGGCGGCTCGGCTCGGATCGGATCGAGTGAGCCAGCCATTCAGCGCTTGTTTTGATGGGGGGGTTGAGCTGCGAAGATGGGGTTCGGTGGCTTTCTTTAAGGGAATCCCTTGTGGCTTTCCTTGAGGGAATATTTTTAGGCTCACTCCCAGATTCCCTACAAGAGTAGCAGCAAGTGATGTTGAAGGAGGACATATTCGGAACGTAAGGGGTACAAAACCAATTCAAGTACGATGGGTTTCGGTATCCCCACCCCTTAATGGAATTGGGGGACGGGGGATTTCGAGCCCTGGCCATTCATTTCTGGTTCCATTTTCCCTTTCATTGGGAAGATGTGGGAAGATAAATGGAATTGCCCCCCCCCCCCCTTTGGTGGTCCTTTTGGCTTCCCAAGTCAACAACCAAAACACGAAAACAAGAGAAGGGGGGGGACCCAACTCCAAGAAGAGGCGGCGAATTAAAAAAGGATTGGGGGTACCAACTCCAAGAAAAGGCGGACAACCAAAACACTAAGAAGAAAAGGGGTACCAACTCCAAAAGACGGCGTTGATTGGCGCAAGCAGCAAAGCAATCTAGGCCCCTTTAAGTTGTTTGCTGTTTAGTCTTCATACCTCCTTCATTCAGTAGGGCTGGTCAAACACACACACACAAACACGGGAAGTGGTGTTGGGATGTGTTGCAGTCATGCAGCATAGTTTCGCACACGGAGCAGTGGTTTCCAAGGGTTTTCCTATTACACCCTGGGTTTTTCGGATTGTGTGGATTGTTTTGGGTAATTTCTCCAGGGGGTCATGGTGTAATAGAAAAATCCTTCGATGGTCCATGGGTTTCCCGGCACCTTGAACCCCACGGGGAACTTGGACAACCAATCCCCTGTTTTTTGGCTGGAGCCTTTTCGAGACTGGACCCCTGAAACAGAAACTCGTCAGTCTTTGTGGCTACTTGCCTGGATCTTTGGACGAACTTTTCAGGGGTTCAGCTCGGGGTTTTCTTTATTGGACCCACAAAATGTGGAGCGCTGCCGAGGGCTCCTTCCAACCAAACCTTCCATTTGCTGAAATGAATATTTTGATTATTATCCCTTGTTGGTTTTAAAAGGCATTTAGCACTACTGGACAATTTGGCCATGGGTCAAAATCCCGGTTAGCCCCCAGTGAACATCCCAATCCCCACTAAAATGGGTTCTAAACTGGGTGGTGAATTCACCGATCCCACCAAAGTGGGGTACCAAAACGGTTTGGACAACCACAGGCATGTTTTTGTTTTTTTTTGTTTATCCCTTGTTGGTTGTAAAAGGCATTTATCACTGGACAAGTTGCTTTTATTTTATGGAAGAAGCCTCCAGCGCCTTCCCAAAGGGAAGACAATTCCTCCACGGGGCCCGGGCCGCTTTCACGGAGGCACCACTGCGAGGCGCGGCGGCTGCCCAAAGTCAAGGTGGAGCTCGGCACCGACAAGCGCGAGGCCTGAGTTGTTTTGTTTGTTTGATAACAATAAAATAATTAAAAAAAAAAAAATGTAAAATAATAAATAAAAACAACATGTTTTTTGTTTTTTCCCCATCCCGCAGCTTGCGCCTTGTCCAGCATGGCTCCCAGGACCGAATTGCACTCATGACTTTGACTAAAAAATGATGTTTGGATCTGAGCAAACATAGGGTAACCTCAAAATGGGTTGCCCTGGGAAATGGAAACAAGGACCAATTCCTTGTTGAATTTTGATCCATACGCAAATTGAGTTCATTTAAGGTGGGATGATCTTGCCGGTGCTCAGCAGGGAATGAGGGAATGACCCCCATAAACCATCCCAGGTAGCTTTTTTCAAGGGAATACCTAGGTTCATTCCCGCATTCCCTACCGAGCACCGGCATGTAATGTTGAAGGTGGACATACGCGGAACGTCAGGATATGCTCGACTCCATGCGGCAGTACGATGTGGCCTTCTCTCGCAAGGTGGACGGTACCTATGAGAAGCTGTTGCCTGCGAGTGGCTGGACCGATTTGATTTGCTACATGCTGAAGATGATCTATGCGTGTTGCATTTTTGAGGGCACCCCTTTTCTTCCATCTGAAATGAATATTTTCTATTTTCCCCTGTTGGTGTTGAAGGGAACCTATGCCACTGGACATATTTCCTTTTTCAAGGGGCTTCAAGCAAATGGAGGTCTTTGGGATGGTTTCAGAGGGGCAGCAACAGGAAACCACCCACGTCGGGGGATCCAGAAAAGACACCCACCCATTTTCGGGGACTGGTGTGATCTCGAGCCTTTGTCTTGGCAAAGGTGCAAAAAGCTTTGCAACTATTAGGAGTGCTAAATGGAGTACTCGCAGTACTAAATGGAGTACTCGCAAGATGTAATGTTGCCAGTACTAAATAAAGCCAGGGTTGACAAAGGAACCCGCAAGCCGCAAGCCGCCATTGGCGCTCCCGCCGGCCATTTGCACAGCAAAGATCGAAAGATGAGGTGAGGTGAGCCCTGTGAAAGGCGAGCGGATCTTGGCAACTTTTGGTCGCAGGCCCCGCCACATTCAGCTTTTGATTTCAGGTCGCCTAAGTGACACCCTCCCGGAAAGCATGGGGCTAGGCCCGTCGCCTGTTAAGTGAATCCCGGAAAGCATGGGGCTACACGGGCAATGTGCCAAAGGATTGGTTGGGCTTCACTTGCAAGTAAGCTGGGAACGACAGCTGTTTCATGACTTGAACAGACAGCCGGGGTGCATTTCCACACGTGGGGTGCAGGTGTTTCTGCGGTTCCCCAGGTTCTTGGGAACCTGTGCACGTTCCATTCTACACTCCGGCCAGCTTTCTCGTGTTCGTGTCTCAGACCCGACCTTCGGCCCAGTTTTGCCTGTTTATTTCTTGGCACTTGCCGGACATTGGCCAGACAGGCGCCTTACGGGCCAAAAGGTTAAACCATTCGTCCCGTTGGATTCGGCAGAAAGGCTCCCTAGGACCTGGAAGCTTCAACCTTGGGAAATTTGTCCAGAGGTGTCCCCCAGATTCCAACCTCAAACCTTGACTGCTATTGGGTTGGATCTTTAGACTTTAACTTTTCGGTTGAAACCAAGTTGGGTTTTCCACTAACCCCCAAAAAGTTAAACTTTTTGCATAAGGTCAACAGCAACCAAGAAACCGTTTTTTTTCTAGCTCGAAGTCACCTAGTCTGCTGCGTCAGCCGGAAAACGATCGCTTGGCTCAAAAAAAGCAGCCTGCGCCCTTGAAAAAAAACAAGGAGAAACAATTCCGCATGACAGGCCCAGGGTAAATTTGGGCAAGGTCCTTGTTTTAGGGGACTTTCCAAGCACCAGGTCATGGTTGTTGTTGGGAAACACATTTTACATCTTTGCTTATTGTGGTTTAGTTGAAATCCAACCACTCAACTGCTAAAATCGAAAATTTATTGCTCCCCTTCCAAGGTCAACCAAGAGGTGTTCGGCTTGGTTTCCCCAGGGTGCCAATCTAAGGGTGGAAGTACATACCCCTTGCTCATAATCCTCGCCCTGGTTTCCAAGCCACTTCCAAACGGGGTATTTCTCCCCGTTGTGGGGAGAGGGGTATGAACATCCGCAGGCCCTTTGGGTTCATTTGCCCAATGTGAAAGGGGTATGTACAAGCACGCCATTGCTCTATTGGGTTGGATCTATAGACTTTTTAGCTTTTTGGATTCCCTTCATATTTCCGGAATTAACCAGCAAAAAGTTGTTAAACACTTTTTGCTGGGGCATCCCGCCAGCACCGAAGCGTGGGCCAGAACCAGCACCCACAAGGCCCTAAATAAGGCCTTAGGCTCCCTCCCTCCCAGCCCCTCCAGCCCCCATGACTCAAGAGCCCCGAGTCGAGCCCTGACTCCCCGCCTCAGGTTTGCAGGCGAGCTGCTTCTCCTGGCGCGACCAAACGTTGGTGATGGCTGCGCGGCCTGCGGCTTGGATCGTTGGTGCGGTGCCCCGAAAAAGAATATGTGTTTTTAGTGTATTCATTGATTTTTCCTTGTTGGTTTTAAAAGGAATTCATCACTACTGGAAATATTTTGGTTTTTAGCTTCGAACTTCAAACCAGCCAACAAGCGGGGGTACCTTCAAAAAAGCGAAAAAAGACACCTTATGGGAATGCGCCTGGGGATTCCATTAGAGGAACCCACAACTAGGCTCCCAGCTAGGTGCCCTTGCTCACCCCTTTTTGGTTGGGAGGGAAACCCCCTACTCAAATAGACTACAGAAAAAAGTTGGTGCCCTTATTCTAACCTCTCTACTGGACCTAGTTGGTCTTCATCTTCAAACCGCCCAACAAGGGGAGGGGACCTTCAAAAAAGACGCCGCCTTATGGGTGAGTCTTTTTTGTAGGACACCAACATGGCTGGGTCGTCCTTTTGGTTTCCCTTTAAGAAAAGCCAAAAAGGGGTACCCTCGAAACATGGCACCCCCCCCTTGCTCCCTGTTGGTAGGCCAACCCTGGAGGGTTCCGCCAATGTCGTTTGCAGTCCCCGATTTTGATGGGTGAGTTTGATTCACCTAGATCCATGCATCCTCAAAACACTGCCCCGAACTACACTGCTTGTTTTTGGGGGTATCTTGCTTTTGTGTGCTTCTTCTTTGAACAAGGGTTGCAAACACACTTTGTTCAGGGTTTTCCTCCAGAAGTTCACGCTCGTTTACTACGTGTTTGCCCTACATGGAAGGATCGATCCCCTTGCTTCAGGTTGCTTCATGGCTTTCCAAGACCTTCAGCAAATTAGAGGTTGCAAGAGAGCCCCACTCAACATTCCAGCCGGGTGAAGTAGATGGTGCAATTTCCCAGTCCCGCTTTGCTGGCATGAATTGAAGCTCTCCAAGTGCCACTCAAATTGCAAATGGCTTAAGTGACTTCATGCAACAAAGTTGTGGCTTGGAGGTGTGGCTGGGTGAAGTGCATGGCGGAATCCCCCCCAATGAAATTGCATCGTCTACTTTCGCCCAACTGTACACATGTGGCTTGGAGATGTCGTGTGTGGCACAAGTGAGTTCAAACAACTCCAAACCACCACTCCAAACTACTCCAAACTAATTACCACTCCAAACTTCGCTGCAAGCAACCACTTCGCACCTCTCCAACAAACACTCCAACGAACTACGCCGACAAAGCTTCCACCCTTGACCGTCCAAACTACCTCTTTTCTTTGTTGCATGTTGCTTGGATGTTAGGACTTCAACTTGTTGCACCCTGTTGCCAACTAATGATTTAATGGGCTTTTCATTGAACCACCAGAATTTAAGAATTTTCAGCAGGGGAGCAGAAAGCCGAGTTTCGTGGCTGAGGAGCTGGCTAGGGCTTTTGAGAAGGCGGTGGTTCTGGCAGTGCCTGAGCTGGCCTCGTCCCTAGCACCCGAAAGCGGGTAGCGTTTTTTTTGCTTTTGAAGGACTCACTTCCTGAGCTCATGAGTCTTAAGCTTTTTGGGTTTGGACCATTTTAGTGGCAAATGTAAAAACTTTGAGCTTTTTTGGGCCATCCACTCAGCAAGTGAGAAACTCCGGACAAAAGACAAGACCCAGTCCACCAGCATGGAAGCAGGGAAATGGTCCAATCTGTCCAAAGGACTCCTCAAAACGTGAGGATCCATATGGCAGTGGCTCAAAGTTAAAGAGCTAGGGTTAGGCAGCTTTTGGTCCATGTTTCCACTTGCCAGGGTTCCATTTTGGTACCGGTTTTTGGAGCCATACCCATATGATTCCATGTTTGTGGCTGGGAGCGACCTCACCCTTGGTGGGTTTGCGACCTCACCAATGCAGGTTCCCGTAGTGGGACTGACTTTTGCGCGAATTTTTAGCAATTTGCCCAGATAGCTTTAAAAGCCTTTGCTGCAGGGTTCCCTACGATTCGGGTCGCATGGGCTTTTTGAACTTGATCATTTGAAGCATATAGTTCCAGCTCGCCCTGCATGACTCTAGGAGTTGACTCCCCATGATTTTCAACCAAACAGCTGTTTCCCCCCCGGGTTTTGGAGGATTGCCTGCAAAGAAGGATCCCTGGAAAGAATGGGAAAGCTTCCGCTATGACGTAGGAAGGCCAAGTTGGAAGGCGGTGTTCCTGGTAGATGGGGTGCTGCTTTTCTGGACTTCCGGGGAATCCTGTGGCCCGAGGCTGTGCTGTAAGTTCCCGAAGTTTCAACCCGGATCCGACCCTCCTGGGCTCGGATTTCGGCAGACGATCGGAGCTAAATATGGCAAGCGCACCAAGCAGACAGAACCATGGTAAAGCAAGAACGAGCATGGTAATGGCAAATAATTCCATGGGAGCATGGTAAATCAGGGTAAACAAATCAGGGTAATTTCGAGGGGTTCCTTATTCCCTTACTCGCAGGGAGGGAGAAGCTTTTAGGATCATACTTCGACCCCCTGTTTCGAAGCTGCCTCAGAGCGCGGGACCAGCATTAGAAATTGGCAGCAGGCGGGTTACGTGGATGTGGAACCGAGCCCAAGAACAAGAACGGGACGTTTCAATCGTGACCCGGACCCAAATGACCATTTTCGGAGCTATTTGACAGCTTTCCCCCCAACACCACAGATTGACATCGAAGCGGACGCTTGTACACGAACCAAACACCTGATGACACCAACCCCAAACAATCCTTCTGACTCCAAACCTTTGATTGCACCTCTCAAAGGCAGATTGCTTTCATCATAGGTGTCCTTTTTTTTGTAGAACAATAGATTAGATGGTGGTTTAATCATCTACCAGGGCCATCTATTTCCCCTAAAAGGACACATGGTTTTGATGGGTTCCATGTTCACCTGCAAGCAGCGTACCCCGCTTTGCTTTGGAGACAGAAGCCGGCTCTCGCTTGGAACGTGTTGAGCCAGGAGAAAAAGGGCCGGCGCTGGGGTTCAACCACTTCCCTTGGAGAGTCCACTGCAGAGGAACAGGTTCCTTAGAGCCTTTGAATCTTGACGAAAAGTGATGCAACATCAAATGCGCAGGTTGTAACGGTGCCTAACTTAAACTCCAAGCATGAAGTTAGCTGATTGAACCCCCAAAGGGAAATCGTGGGGAAGGGTGGGGGGCTCTGTTTTCAACTCTCTTGAGTCTCCGCGTTACCCGTTGGTGTGTGTGTGTGTGTCGTTTGGTCAGGGCGAAAAACAGGGACTTCAGTGTAAAAAGTCACGGGCTTACATGCGAAGCGCCAGGCGCCACCATGTGAGGGGCCAATGTGCCCCATCGGAAACACAGCCGCCAGTGACTTGGAAGTTGGAAGTTGGAAGTGGCCCTTTTGAAAGGGTCACGTGCCTATCTTCACTGCTATTGGGCAACGGATCTTTAGACTTTGAGACCTTTTGGTTGAAATCAAGTTGGGTTTTCCACTAGAGCCCCCACAAGTGAAACTCACTTTTTGCAGGGGGGTCGTTGCAGCCACCAAGCTATGTTGGTTGCCCCATTACAGTAGGTCATTTGTTGCCCAAGGCTGTTATTGGTTTCCATTCGGACAGGCGCCACACTGGGCTTGGTGAGTTATGACGTGCCCAGCGGGCCGTCCTGCTCAAACTTCGAGCGAGCTTGGGAATTGCCAGGCGTGTTTCGATCGATACGGTTAGGCATTGCGTGCACTACACTGGGGCCTATATTAACCCAGTTGCCCAGTGCCACTCAACCAAAAGCTTTGCAAGGCCGACCTTTCAACCGCTCCTGCAGCAAGGAGGATTCGGATTCCGAATGAGATCGACCTAAGCGAGTTGAACATTCCCCTTATTTCCCTTTGAATCAAAATTGAAAGGTGACGATGGTGACGCCACCCGCAATTTGGTAGAGATGCAGATTCTCATTGAGGACCACTCTGTAGGCAAGCTGCGCCCAAGATGGGCGTCCGCTCCGAGAAGAGGGAAAAGACGCGGGGCACTTGGGGTGAATGTGAAGCGGTTTGTCTAAGATGGGGTGACGTTCGCTTTTCGGGTTCCATGTTGTTTGTTCAGAAGGCGAATAACATTGGTTGGGGTTCCTTTAGTTTCCCTTTTAGCTGCGCTGGCGTTTGGCTTCCTCGTTTTGACTGGGTAATCACCATACGGTCAGTTGTCCACGACTATGGTGGCCCTTCCCCACCATGTGCTGAGGGGACATGGCTGAGGCCTTTATAGGCCATCCCCCGCGCTCTCCACACGGGGCATCATGTAAGATGGGCCCGCTGCTTGGCATGCGTTTGACTGGCATGCGTTTTCCTCCTTGGATTTGGACTGGGAGCTTGAGCAACCTTGAGCCTCGGCGTGTTCCACATAAGGAGTGTTGATTGTGACATATGTAAGATCTGCGTGAAAGGCGGTTGCGGGCTAGGTGTTGTCAGGGACATGGGCAGGCTTGGCATGTCAAGCAGCAATGGCAGAAACGTAACTTGCAAGCTGCGAGGTTTCAAAGGCGGCGATGCCCTCGCCCTTGCCGTTGCCGTTGCCGTTGCTGTTGCTGTTGCTGTTGCTGTTGCCAATTGGCCCCACCCACTCGCAGTCCCCACTCCTGCGTTGCCCTAAATGGCTTTTTGCTGGCTGAGCGAGTGGTGGCGTCGCGCGCGTTGTTGGCATATTTGTCTTTCATGATGGCTGAGCAAGTTCGAAGTCTGCGTGGGCTTGCAGGAAAGCGCCTCAGAAGAACCGGGTCTCAGTTCGGCAGCCAGGCGCCCAGAGTCCCACCGTTCACCGCTGCCTTCAATATGGAACTCCAAACGGTTCCCCAGCTAGGTGAATCGTAACGTCATAGGTCCCGCCTGCCACCTGTCGAGTGCAACGGAAGCTTGCAGTTTGCAATGACATGCTGCGGTGCCTGTTCAGTTTTGCGTTGTGTCCATAGGTGTCCTGTTTGGTTGGTTTGCTTAAAAGTAGAGGGCCCTGGCCCAGATGGTTTCTTCCATTTGTCAGGGCCATCTACTTTCCCAACAGCCCACCTATGGTTGTGTCTGCTCTCAGGAAGCCGTACGCTGACGGGTACTGGCCGGCCTCAGAGTACGAGGCCTCTCCGGTTGGCAGGTAACGCCACCGGCTCATGGCTAAGCCCTTCAGAACTTCGAGTGCCACTGTCGATTCATTGCATGTTCCGTTGTCTTATTTGTCATTGTTGTTTATCCACGTGTTGCTTGTTTTTATTCTTGGTTCATTTATGTTATTGCTTTATCGTGTGTGTGTTTTCATTTCATGTGTTGTTGATTTTTCCCGCTTGTCAGCTTGTGTTCCATCATATCTGCTAGTCTGTTTGTTCACTTACTTGTTTATTGCTGCGCTTGCTCTCGGTTATCTTTAGCTGTTTGTGTATCTGCTTGCGCGTGAAACTCATTTGTTTAGCTATTGCCTTGTCAAGTCGTGTATTTGTTTTTCCTTACATTACGGCTTACCGCTTACCATGTATATCAGCTTGAGAGGCAGCTCACGCTCCTTTTTACCCCCACGCCTCCAGAGCTGGACCCCATTCAAAGGTTTGGATTGGTAAGGTCCGCACATGTTATCACAGTGGAACCTTTGAAAAGCACTTGACGTTTGAAACCTTGAAGGATTTTCTACACCAATACCCTAGGTCCCTTGCCGATTCAGGCCGATTCCCAGTAAATGATTGGCCCAAGGTCCTGAACCGTAAATAGTGGTGGTTGTATGAACACCGGTGCTTTAAACTGGCTGGTGGAAACCAAGACCCTGAAAAACAAGGGTGTTTCCCCTTGCCTCCTGAACAGTGTATAACGGTGGTTGTATATAGCTGCTGGTAACCGAACCCCAGAAAAATAGGTGTTCCTTACAAACGCAATACTCTACCCCCCAACCCATACCTTGACGGAGCTGTCAGGAAGCCACAGGGACTGCTCCTGTGCTGGCGCCTTAGCGCCCTTTGAGCCAGAATTCGGCGCGTTCTATGGTGAACCTCAGGATGAGGTGCGTGTTATTCTTGCTGTGCAATGTTACATGTTTGCCTTCCAGGGTCTGGAGAGGATTCCCAACAAAACGCAAAGATGCAGAACGAAATCGCTGTCTTCGTGCCTAAGATACATATTCGTCATATTCGTGTCTCGCCGGTGAGTTGAGGGCTTGAGAGCCCCTCTCCATGTCTCATGAGTTTTTGCTGGGTCCATGTCGAGGTGGCCCCTTGAAAACACCATTGAGAGGCGGAAATGTTGAGGATGCCTTCAATGGAGCCAGTCGAGCGACGTAGCAAAGTAGAAAGATAGGTCTATAATATGCAACATTGTGCACGGCTGTTTTGCATTGCCAAGCGCCTTTTGGATGCTGCTGTCGGTCAGGCGGTCGCTCCGTGCGGTCCAAATCCTGTCGCTTAGTGCGGCGCAAATCCTGTCGCTTAATGCGGCAGTCACTTTCACCTTCAAGGGCCCGTTGAGCTCGTGTGGCCCGTTGAGCCCAACGGGCCCAACGGGCTCAAGCCC